TGGGGGGGGGGGGGTTGTGGGTTTCCTTTCAGTAGAGTGACATGCTACAAAACAAAAATGTAGTTACTGACTCAGGCTGCCACTTCATTTAGAATCTGACTGAAAGGGAAGATAGCCTATGGAGTAAGTGATTGATGGTGGATTTAGTTTGGATCAGTGCAATTGCGTTTCTCTGATTCCAATGAACAGAAGGTGAAATTATGCATGGTATATGGTGTGGAAACAGACCACTCTGTTCATGGGGCAGCAGAGAGAATATTAAGTTGCCAACTATGTGTCCTACTTGGGCGACAGAGACAGAGTAGTCTGGAATTCAAGGATCAAGAGATGGAGTGGAAAATTAAAGCCACTTTGACCCATTTCCGGGACAACTTTATGAGATTGGTGTGCTTGAAGGGGTTGGACTCTCTGCGGCTGTGATATGCAGTACTCAGACTTTCCCTGGCAAGCTATTTAGAGAACAAACACCGCCTTAAAAGTAGCATTCCTTGTGGCACAGATGTATTAGAAGCTGCCTTGACAATTAAAAAATTTGAGAGTAAGTGTTACAATCCATCTTAATTAGTATTGTATGGGTAAATTTTACAGAACACGGTTAATTATTTGATCTTTACAAAGTGAGATTACCCAAGATTTAAAATGTATACAAAAGGAGCCTAAACAAATATATTCAGATTTCAGACTAGGCACTTAAAGATAATTTTTACAAAATCTCCGCCAAACACAAAATGTACTAGGCATGCCTCATTAAACCAAATGAAAAGAAGACTCGATAACAAGTAATAAAGCTTGCATGGTGGAAGTTCATTTCCTAAAAATATCTTTGGACCTTCCATGTATCCAAATGAGACATAGTGGGGTACTTACCTTACTTTTCGATATCCACTCTTCCTACCTCTGGTTCTTCTCTAACCTCTATGCAATGCCTCCACTAACCTATGGAGGTGCAATTCTTGTGGGTTAGGCGAGTCAAAAGGACAACCCAGGCTTAACCTGAATTCAATGCGAACCCTTCAACCTGGGTATTGCTCATGTTTAAAATTTTAAACTCGAACAAACATCATCCGGGATGAAATCCAGTGTCAATCTAGTGGTACACAACTTCGCTCGGGGTGGACAGAAATTTTATTTTTGGGTAAAAGACAAAGAATTTTGACGCCTTTCAACAATATTGCCACCTCATAAACAGAATAAGAGTATTGAAAGAGAGAGGCAGCATTTACAATGAAAACAAGTGTTGATAAAGTAGTGTGGATAAACTAAGAGAAAATCAGTGCAGTTTTGCAGTGCTAGCCAGTATCACAATTTCAGAACTGAGCAACTTACCTCAAGAGCCTTTTCAGCATTTGTTTCTGTGATTACCCCTACTGCTGCATTTGCAGCCAATATCATTAGGATGACCTATAAACCAACAATAAGTCCTCAGAAAAAATCATTGTAACAAAGATCAACTTTAACAAGTAAATGTCACCATATCAACTATGACGCCAAGAGAGAGAGAGCCATAACAAGGTCATATTGTATGATCAATCAAAATGCATACCATAAGCTCGATTTTTTATAGAAACAACACGTGCAATAAATATTAAGCAGCATGTACACAATCAAGAAGTGGATATCAATTTTCCATGCAGAAAGTTATTGCATCTTACAGAAGGCTCCCAAAAGGCTTTTAATCCTGTCTCTCCATCAACCAATGCCAAAAGGAACGAAACAACAGCAGCTGCAATCAAAATCTTAACCAGCAAATCATCAAATTGCTTCAGAACCAATTTCCAGAAAGGAGTGCCTGCATTCATTTAAACATGTGTAAATCAAGAAGGGAGTCGCACAAAATTAAATAAGTGTGTGATTTTTCATTTCTTTATACAAAACCATATCATCTACAGCTGTGTGCATCAGTTGTACTAATAGAACATATGGGTAACTAGAAGTAAACAGTTCTGATTCAATTTGAGGCAATGGGAGCCACTTAAACAATGAACATTTAGACTTACTAAAGATAGGTTCTCAAAAAGATTATAGGTCAAAATCAACCGCAAAGGCTGAAAATAAAAGTTCATTGTGTTTAGCGATAAACATTAATGCAAATAAGGAGGTAATAGTTTGAAGAGTTCCGGATATTCCAAGTACCTGGCCATATATAAGATACAATGCATGTACAAGTTGATGCAGTACAAGCAAGAGGGCTTCACTTTTGTATTGATGAACTTGAAAATCTAAAAGAAGGCAGATAAACTATGCAGGAATGCAAAGAAGATGCCAACAAAAACTCAAACAATAAGAAACAGAAGTCAAGAAATTATTAACGGATTCCCAAAAAAGCATGCAGACATAAAAGAACATCTTTATTTCCTATATTTAGAAATTCCATATTTACAGAACTTATAGAATAAAGAAATGGAACCTTACAAACAAAAGTAGAATGCAATATCCAGCAGTTCACAAGAAGGTTGTAATAGCTCATGCCTTAGCCGCCAAAAAAGGAATAAGTCAGAGACTCAAAGACTAGAGATTATATATACATGCTCATTATATCTTACGATGGTGGCGTAATTCACTAGTTGCCATACCAATGAAAAGCTATTAAGAAAAGTTTAAATTTATTTATTTTTATTATTTACTAGGTCATTTTGATTAGCTAGTATTTATCTTATTAGAATTGTTTTGGATAGAGTTTTATTAGAAGAATAATTCCATCTCATTAAGAGTATTAGTGAGAGTTTGATTAGGAAATTCTTATGGTGTTTCAGTAGGACGGTAATTTGCGAGTTTGATTATGAAATTTTTTTAGAATTTTAGGTGGAAAATAATTTTCATTTTGGTATAAACTTGGCCAATAAATTTCGATGTAATCTCTACTATAAGATTGGTATTATTGAACTTTGTTCTTCATGGAGAATTTGTGTGTTTCTTGACTTAATCGTCGCGAGAATTTTGTCTCTCTTATTCTTCTTTTCTTCCCCCCCCCCCAAACATCGTTTATCATTCACTGTCAACTTTGTCGGAGCCCTTATAGTCACAAAATATTGTCATTCTTCGCCGCTACCATCATCATCCATAACTTTGATCCTTACCATTAGTTGCTTTCTGTGGAGGTCCGTCGTCGTCTATTATGTTTCCGAGCAATTGTTTGAGTGAAGAATAACTCTTGTTTGTTGGGTCTAAAATATCAAGTTAAAGATTAATATTTATTTATTTATATTATTACAAGGATGTGTTGGTTAGCTAGTATTTATCTTATTCGAATTGTTTTGGATAGAGTTTTATTAATTTTATCTCATTGGGAGTATTCGTTAGTTTGACTAGAAAATTATTATAGAATTTTAGTAGGAAAGTAATTTGAGAGTATGGTACTCTTTTAGAATTTTAGAAGGAGAATAATTTTTATTTTGGTAGGAGACTTGGCATATAAGTATCCGATGTAATCCCTACTATTTTGGATGAGTGGTATTATTAAACTGAGAATTTGTTTGTTTCTTAACCTAATCTTTGCGAGGGTTCGGTATATCTTTTTCTGCTTATTCTTTGTTTTTCTACTCTCTTATTTCTTCTCCTCCCATACAACATCAATAACTGTTCCTCCCCTTTAACTAATTGTGCATTCTGAACGCTAACCTTAACTTGCCACTAAAAAACCTATACGCGTCTTAATTCCAAGTTTTTCTAAAAATGTCCGTCATACAATGCACCAATATATATATATATATAATATATATATATATATATATGCAGATACACCCAAATTACAGAAATGCATCCATAGATGTATATACATAGACAAATTTAACATCGGTCAAGTCCAGGAACTTCCATAGTGTTTTGAAGCAACCCTAAGGTCTATTTCACAATAACAACATATATTACCATAAGCAACAGAAGATTGATTGAAAAATAAGGTACCCCAAAACAAATAAAATTGGATGCACAGATCGTATAATAAAAAGGAATTATAGGTGTAGCTAAACTAAAGTTCTGAAGTGAATCCCTTTTCTAGTGACTGACCATTCTATAATCAAGCAAGGGTGTGTATATATGCTTACTCTTCTCTAGATGCCTTTTTATTTTCTTACTAATTTGTTTGGGTACCCTTCACCCTTGTGTTGATATTCTTCTTTAATCAGTTATTTTGAATCAAATAACATACATACATGTAGAAGAGGCAAAAAAATGCCGACAATTATCAGAGGATAAAAGAACTTATGGACATACTTTTTAGTTTCCAGAAAAAGCAAAAATAGGAGTTCCTAAACAATATGTTGCTTCAAAAACCTGTGCTGCAGGGGGGGGGTCCATTTGTGTGTGTGTGAGAGAGAGAGATAGTGAATAACCCTTGTACTTACTTTCCTCTTGATGCAGCACTGAGACCATATGTGAAGTATAACATGCACCAAAGGAAAAAACGTATCATAAGGGTGAATCCAAAAAATGAAAATCATACAAATAGTTGCTAGCACATGAGAAGATTATTGCACATTTGAACCACATTTCAGGCATATATAAAGGGTTGTCATTTGCTACTAAAATGATATATCATAATAGAAAGTGTTGTAGTTCACTCCTGGTCTCAAGCATGCAGAAAATCATCTATTAGTGATTTCAGATTGTTATGATGACAGGATCTTTTGTATGGGCTGTTTTGAAATTTCAGGTTATGAGACAACCAGTTGGGTTAAAAGGAACACAAGGGCATCATTTTTCAACCAATCTGGTTGTTTCTAGATCGCCTCAACTTCCACTATTGGGTTGCATTCCGTGGTCCAGAGAAACTGAGGGAAGGATACTAAAAAAACAATCCGATTGTGGAAAAAAGAATCACTTTCAAGAAACAAGTTTTTTGGTCACCCCCTTAGGATAAGTTTTTACGTAGCTAACTTATTATAGGTTTTCGCAATGTGTGTAGTGGTACCACAGATCATTTAGTGTAACCTCCCTCTCTCTTTCTCTTTCTCCAGGTTGTTTTCTTAAATCAAACATGTGTATGCTGTTAACAAGCAGAACGCCAGTAAGGTATGTACCATCAGACAAAGCAAAACGACCACATATATGCGACAAAGATAGGCAAATAGCCAGTGCCCATTTGTATTTACTATCTAAATTAATGGGGTAAATCGTTAAAAATTTATGATATCAAAGGAATTTGCGTAACCAATTTAACCTAATGTTTTAAACAGTGGGCTTACCGTTTCTGCCATATATTCTGGCATGTTCTGCAACCTGAAAACAACCAAACCACAAAAATCTTGTAAAGCAGAAAAGAAACAAAAAAATAATATTGAAAGCCGGATTGAACTAATGCACCGAAGAAGCACGACAACTAATAGCTACTCAGCCAATTATCAGAAAACACGAAAATTAACAGTAAGCAACTGTTGTACCTGTAAATCTGCAAGACCTTTTGTCTGGTCCACATTGAAGAATTCCAGAACCTGATCGAACAATCAAAGAATTGCAACATTCAGTAAATCGAAAGAATCCATCAAACGAAGGTTTGGACTGTTAAGCCTCGTCTGGTAGCCAAGAAATCCCAAAGACATTATCTTTTGCCAGCGCAATGAGGCACAACTTCAAATCAAACTATACTTGACACACAGTACGAAAGATTTTCACACTTAAACAAGTCCGAATCCAAATTGAGACCATGATCCACTAGTGCGATTACCTCTCTGACTGATCTGGAGTAGGCGTCGTTCATTAAGGACCTGATTGCGAAGACGAGACGATTCCGATGGTTTTGAATTCTCCGTCGCTCACGGCCTTAGTTTAATCTCGTATTTCTGGATCTAACTCGTAAGAATCCGAGTATTTGTTTGTCAACGGACACATGCGCTAGGGTTTTTACAAAAAATGATGTGATTTGCCAAATTTGGGATCATTAATGACCAAGATCATACGTATCGGCAGTAATGTCACCTCCAAGATTTGGTAACTAAACTTTGATTGAAATAGCTTTTAATAAGAAAATTTTTAATTTTTTATAATATAATGCGGGAAATTTTAAATCTATTTGAATACAAAGTTATATTCTCTTTGACTTTATAAACGTACTTTAGAATATTTATTGCTTATTTGAATACTAGTTATTTTATGTGTCTGGAGGTACAGAGTAATAAAAAATGATAAATAATAAATATATTTGTATTCATATTTAAAATTAAATCACAAACATAAAGAAAATATAAATGAATTTAAGTATCGATTTGTAGTGGGGGTGAGAAATGGTAAGAAACGATGATGGTTGTGGTGGATAACAATGACTGTGGTGGCGACAATGGTGGTGGTGGTGGTGGCCGTGGCCGTGGCAATGATGATGGTGGTGGCGACGACGACGATGATGATGGTGGTGATGACGATGATGGTGGGGGTGGCGGCGGCGGCGGCGACGACGAAGGTAGAGGTAATGATGAGGCAGTTTTAAATATTTCTTTTTTTAAAGTATTTATGAGAAATAATTTTTAAAAGTACTTTTAAAAAGTCACTCCAAATACACTTTTAAGGATCAATTTTTCTTATTAAATTTAGAGTGTTAATATTAGCCGTTAGATTAAATTTAAAGTAAATATTAAAACAATTTCAACCGCGAATAGTAAAAATTATTTTGTTTATCTTTTAAAATTTGAATTGTAAATTATTTTATTATATAGATTTTTGTGTAAATATTTGTGTACAGAACAACTTATTTATGCTATTATTTTTTAAAGTAAATAGATCAATACCAGGACATATCTGTTTACCTAATCATTTATAACTATTGGATTTACAATGGACAAATATTTATTAGGACCCACAATTAATCCAATGATTATAATCAATTAGGTCCAAATAATATTATTGAATAAAGTAATAATACTTCTAAAATTTGTGATCATGCATGTGTAAGAACAAATATTAAATTCCATTTCCAAAAAAAAAATTTTGTTCAATAAATATTTATTTTTTACATTTATCACCGCCGACAATTCTACACTGTCATCCCTACCATCACAATCAGCAGTATCACACATCAGTGTCTGCTGTCACTATGTACCACTACCATTCCCCCGAGCCATCATCACCATTCACCATTTTTGTCACCACTCCAGCACCACCAATATCATCTTATATGTTGGGATGCAACAAGGTCGATGGGTGTGCATTTGTCGGTGAGTGAAAATATTTGGCATTGATAAGTGTTTTTTTTACCAATCACCTAAACGTAGTTTTCTATAAAATATTTTTTTTTATCAATAAAATATTGTTTATTAAAAGAGTTTTTTTTTTTTTTTGGTACATGTTTTATTGAATACTTATTGGATTCACGAGTCTTTCTAAATGTCCCGATTCTAATTCGCTATCTTACTATTTTAACTAATAGGTACATGAGTTGCAAACAAACTATTTTGGCTATTAAATAATGTCTATTAGTATTGTAAAAACTACAAAAGTGATCCCATCAATTAAAAAGTTAACTAAAAAGGCGCACTAATTCATAAAAATAAATTATTATTTTGATTAACAAAATTTCAAATCTTATTCCAAAAGCAAGTATAGGAACAAGAAAAATATAATATTGTTTACCTTTCAATTCTTAATGATCGAAGTTATACTAGTTCTTCAATCAATTGTACAATTATTTATTCAACATTGTGGTTGAAGATACTCTAGTGACTCTTTCATCTCTCCCTTCTATTTTTCACTACCCTTCGATTTATAATACACCAATAATAATGTATAATCATTATCAAAACCAACAGCTTTGAATGGATTAGAAACATATAATAAATTTACTTATTTATGTTTTGATATTCTACAAAAACTAGTAAAAATACATAAAGAATAAACACACCTACAAAATTCTAAAATATAGTGTATGTCATAGGTATAATTAATGTTCTTTCTTCTTCATCATCATCTTCTTTGTAGTCTTATTTTTTGTAACTTTCTTCTTTATCTTCTTATTTGTAATATACTTTTCTTATTAATTTTTCATCTTCTTCTTCTTTTAGTTTTTTATTTTTCTTATTATTTCTGGTTTTCTTGTTTCTATTTCTTATTTGCAGTCTTCTTCTTATTTTTCTTATTATTTTTAGAGTTCATCTTCTTCTTCTTCTTTGTAGCCTTCTTCTACTATTTTTTTTTATTGTAGTTGTCTTACTCTTCTTTGTAGTCGTTGCAATTTCTGTAATCTTCTTATTTGCGGTCTTTTTCTTCTTTTTTGTTTTGTAGTTTTAGTCTTCTCTTATTTGCAATTTTTTTATTTTTATAAGTTTTCTTCTTCTTTGTAGTCTTATTCCTCTTCGTCTTTGGGGCATGTTTGTTTGGGGGATTGATTATGGGTGATATGGGAAATGTATTCCTTACATTTCCAATACCAATAGAAATTAGTACCAGCAATAGAAAGTATTTCAATCTCATCCCTCGTTTGTTTGTTCAATAGATACTATGATGGGTCTCACAAATAACCATCTATTCCATCACATCTCATATAACAAATATAACATTTTAGCCCTAATATCATCTATCCATTACTCCGTGTAAAGTTTTTGCCCTATATTTGGTTAATACTTGGTATGACCATCTATACCCAAAAATAGTCAAATCGTGTAAAAAAATCCACATGAAAATTCAAGAGTCATTTACACACATTATACCAATGAGGATAAAAAAAAGAAATTAAAAAGTTCATAAAATAAAATTACAATAAATGACTTTAATCCTTCAAAAAGGACTTAAACCATTTTAATATTTTGTTTGCAGCTCTCTCCATGTACAACTGCTAACTCTGCAACATTCCAGGTTGCTGACTACCAAACACTTCCATTCTCATCCTTGCAGTAGACATCCTGGATTGATCCTGTTGCGAGAGCAATCTCCCCTCCAATGGCAGAATGCCCCTTACTGAAAAATCAGTAAAACGTTCAGTTTTGACTGCAAATGAAACCAGAAAATCAGCTATTGCATTGAACCAACACTTGAGAGTCATATTCAATCAAGAATCAATAATTCTCCAAACCATACTACAAAATCAATTTTAAACCATCAAGCAAGGCTAAGCACTCAGCTTTCATATTTGAATTTGTCCCATAAAAGGCAACAACAGCTACCACCACATGCCCCTTAGAATTTGTTAAAACCATCCCACCTCCAAACAAACCACTACTCCATTTGGAAACACCATCCACAGCTTCATCATGCCATGCAAATAGGAGATTCTCCTGGAAAAATCTCAAAGCCCATAACAACAGATACTCTTATCCACACAACCTGAGCAAAAGAACAATTAACAAACAAATGATTAGCATTCCCCTCATCTCTACCACATACATTGCATCTACTAGCCAAGGATACCCCCACACTATGCACCCTAGCATCAATAGACAATGCATATATGTAAATCTTCTAAGCATTTAGTTGAGCACCAGGAACAATAGCTGAGCATTCAGTTGTGCAACGAAACTATGTGAAATTGGGAAATAAAAAACTAGTGTTAAAAAAAAATTATATGTTCAGAAGACAACACACCTATGTTTCAGATAAATGAACCAAATTAAAAAAAAAAATCAATCCCAAACAAAAAAAAAACCAACACCGGAATCAAAAACACATATAAAAAAAAGTAGCTATTGTTGATAATCAGCGTCTTTCTACCAAGCTATTGTACCACAATTTGTAGGAAAATAGACAAATAAGAGAAAAATAAGTTTGAAAAAATTATTTAATGGGTGGATCTATGTTTGCTCGGGGGGTCTAGATGTTAGGGTAATGTAGATATACGAAGTAGAAAATCGAAATTTTTTGTGTATAAAAAACCATAGCACAGACTTATTGTAGAAATCAACCGTTGTCGTTGATGGTTTAAGATGTGTTTCTGATTTGGGTGAGAAATGAGGAAAGCATAAGGTGAGAGATGTTACTTGAAGGTGGAACTGGAGCCGACAATGGTGATGTCTTTGTCTTCGTCTTCTTCAGCGAAACTAGACGTTATTTCAGGGTTAAGGCTAAGTTTGAAGGGTAAAATAGTAAATTACTCACCTTATACCGTTTGTGGCCAAATCCCATAAAATAATACCATTTCCTAGGTGGTATTATATAAAGCCATGTAGATGAGTTTTGATGCACTATTCACATCGGGTTGGTATTATGACCGGAGAAAAATAGTACTTGGTGTAAAATGTCAAACAAACAAGGTATAAGGTAGACCCCACGTATTATTTCCTTCTATCCCACCCTATAATACCACCTAATCCTTCAACCAAACATGCCCTTGTAGTCTTATTCTTTGTAGTTTACTTTTCTTATCCTTTGTAGTCATCTTCATCGTCTTTGTAGTCTTCTTCCTATTTTCTTTATAGTATTCATCATCATCTTTTTCTTCTCATAATCATCTAGATACGTAATGAGTCATTATGTGAGTTTCATGTTTACTTTTTTACACATCGTGTATGAAGCCAACAATTGTTGGCTTGCAAAACAAACATAAAACATTGAGAATCCTTATCTATTTCACCAATAAAATACTAAGAAGTTTGCTATACTTAAGCTGTGCTCAATTATGCAACCTCAACTTGCCCTCTAAAAGTAGCAGAAAGAGTAACTATTTGGCTTACAATAGCTTTATCACAATCATGCAACTGCTAGTTTGTTGACGAACTAGCATTTGAGAATCATTTGGACTCCCCAAACTTGACAAGACTCAAAAATTACATCTATGTTCAAACAAATTATCGACAACCAAAACAAACATCAATACCTGAAATATTGTCTTTAATTTGAAGAAATCGAATGTTGCAATTACATCTCTGACAGATCTGACGTAAGTGTCGTTCATTAATGACCTAGTTGTAGAGATTTAAGACGATTACAATTCGTCGATTCAATATTGTCCCGATGGTCTTTGAATTCTCTGACTCTCTGGGTGTTTCAACCTTTAGTAATCTCGTTATTTATGACATTTTTTTAGATCTAAGTAATGTCCACTATAACTGTGCTAGGGTTTATAGGTGTGATTTGTTATGACCTTAGTGTCTGACCAGCACTTGGTCACTCACCCTCTCATTAGGAACTCCCATTTTGCACTCATAAAAAATACTAAATATTGTGTCTTTTGCAATAAATGACATGATTTAGTGTAATTAATGACCTTGATCGTGTAGTTAGTTGGGGTTGAAAATTAGGAAAGTATGTTGTTTTTTGAATGCCTTTCAAAAATGTATTATTAATTATGTGAATACTTTGTAAAAGTTTGTACGGTGAAGAACTTATTTACGACATTTTTTGAAGTAATATTGTTTTTTTTTTCTAATTATAAACTAATATTACTATTAGAATATGTGATCGTGATTCATGAGTATCTAAGAATAAAAAAATAAATTGTATTTCTAAACAACACTTCTCCAAAATAAATTATTATTTTTATGTTTATCACCACCACCACCACCCACTATTCCACTGGGGCAACGCTATGAAAATGTTATAGAGTGACTACTTTAATAAGTTTTATCCTAATCCATTAAAAAAAGTTGATACATACATACTTATTTATCCCATCTATGATAATTAACAATTTGATAAATAGAAAATGGCCCAAACCTAATGTATATTTGTTTGTACAACCTAAAAGTAACTAATCATAGTTGTTTTTTTACAGAAAATTAGATTAATTATAGCTACTTCTACTTGCAATTGATCCAATAATTTTTCATCATTTGATAGCATTGTGTGATAACTTTATTGTCACGGCCATATAAAAAAAAAAAATTCCTTACGTCATAATTATGTTATTAGCCTCTTTATTATTCATTCAGTTAAAACAATTGAGCCTCGACAATCTTTGTAGCTGTCTAGCTAAGAATAATAATGACCATTACAATTGATAAAATCAATTTCAATGTCACATGAATGTAAACTACAAGATATATCACTTTTTTTTTGTCTTCAAAATTTTATAAGCAAGATCGTAAATCTGTGACATTCAAAAACAAAATGTTCAATTGCATGCCTATAATATAATGACCAAGCTAATTAGTCTCATTAGTTACATAATAGTTAGAGTTGTCCTTGATTGTTATGGACTTAAATAACTCATATGTCACTCATAGCTAGCATAACTGTTTTAGGATAGAGGTTGTATAATTGTGAATCGTTTCTTCTCCTCTCTCGATTGCTTTATCTCTCTCAATTGGTCAATCTTTTTTTGGTCTAATGAAAAATATCCTCAATAGACAAATTATACTTGAGTTTCTTTTTAATTAATTTTATAGTTTTAAGTTGTGAGCTTAACTGTTTATATACTTAAGAAAATAACCATATATTTTAGTATGCAATGCTCCCAATTTTATGCAGTGACAATATAATCCCACAGTTTGTTTCAAAATTTACAAAGTCACTCATTATGTCCAAACTTACCCAGATATATTTGAAGTGTATCCACAAGTTAGCAAAGTATGGAGTATCTACCAATTGAATATGATAAGAAAATAATAAGGTGAAGATAATTAAATATATTTAAAAAATATATAAAACTTAAATTGTCCATGCACTAAGCGTTCTGCCCAACAAAGTCTAAAATTTCACTGCCGAGATTTGATGTTTCAGTATACCATATAGTTGGACCCAAATTCAATTATCTTCTTTGAAAGCTGAGTTGAATTTATAGAGGTCATTGCGTTAGAGCCTTAGAGATCTAATTATCGTACTGAAAAACAAATTTTTAGTATAATACTTCAACTTTTTATTCAATAAAGACTTGACAACCCTAGCTGGTCGAAGAAGCCTAAAAAGTTCAAGACTTGGGCGTGATGTATCGGCCTGCTGCCTAGGTTTTTTTTGTTTGGTCATTGCCTAAGGTTGGAACACTAGGGGTCAAAGACATCAGCCAATGGGCTGGGCCGAAAACTTGTTAAGTACATAGGGAGGAGTTATAATATAGGGCTAATTTCACTTTATACCCCAACAAATAGTTTGATTTTTAATTTATACTTTTTAAACATTANTAATACTTGGTATGACCATCTATACCCAAAAATAGTCAAATCGTGTAAAAAAATCCACATGAAAATTCAAGAGTCATTTACACACATTATACCAATGAGGATAAAAAAAAGAAATTAAAAAGTTCATAAAATAAAATTACAATAAATGACTTTAATCCTTCAAAAAGGACTTAAACCATTTTAATATTTTGTTTGCAGCTCTCTCCATGTACAACTGCTAACTCTGCAACATTCCAGGTTGCTGACTACCAAACACTTCCATTCTCATCCNAGCATTTATGCTCCGTTTGGTACGATAAAAAAATGGGAGGATAAAAAGTTGAAAGGATAAAAAGTTGGAGGGATAAATAAAACATCATGTTTTGTAAGGAAGGAAAGTAAAAAGGATGAAAAAGTTGATGGATTAATTTTTCTTCCAACTTACCAAAATCAATCTCTCCAAAATCGGAAAGAAAGTGAATTAAAAGTTAATTATTTATGTTGAGATGTATCTTATTTGTCTATATATCTTTTTATATATACATTAATTTCATATAAAAATACAACGGTAAAATATGTATATATATAATTAAATTTAAAAAATTAAAAAATTGAAGAAAAAATTAAAAAAATTAAAAAATTCAATTAAAAAAATATATTTTTTCCATTTTAATTGAGGGNATTTTTAAAAAGAAATTAAAAAACAAAATTCATCTTAACTAAGGGTAAAAACTTTCGACTCAACATGATGACACGATTCGAACTCGATACGAAAATAAACAGGTCAATTTGCAACTCGACACGACATAATTAGTTAAATGAGTTAAGTTAGGTTTGACTAATATTTAACACAAATCCATAATGACTTAACACGAATCTGACACGCCACGACTTGTTTGTCATCTTAGCCATTAAAAAAAAAAATAGTTATTTTTATTTTTCATCAATCCAACCAAACACAAAAGAATAAAAGTGTATCCTTCTTACTTTCCATATTTGAATGATAGAAAGTGTATCCCTCCTATTTTTCATCTTTCCTACCAAACGGAGCATTAAGGTGTAAATTTTTTGGGCATAAGAATGAGGTATGTCTACTTCTATAGATCTTCGTCTGTGATCAATTGAGTACCATTCTGTCTACCAAAAATATGATTTCTCTAATCAGATAGAGGTCAATCCTATTATGCGCAATTTACATAAAACACTAATAGTTTGAGAATTTACACATAGGTGTATGTTTGAAACACTTGCAACTCATATATTTCAGTTTATGATAAAAAACTGAATGACAATTTGGCCAATGTCCATATTGCTACTTATTCATAACATTACCAATACAAATTGAAATTTCTAACAATTGAAGGTATAAATTTAAAATCAAAGTATTTTTTAGGATTCAAAGTGAGATAAACTCTATTATGTGTCTAAAAAGCACTATATAACCCAAAAAAAATCGGTAAAANCATGAGATGGTTGAAAAAGGTTTGTTGGGTTGAGTTCTAACCCATTACTTAGTCCAAATTTTTAGTGTCCGTGGAGTTGACTCCATGAGTTTCCAGTTCACGAATTATTAACATGAAATTTGAATGNTGGATCAAATATGTTTTTATATGTTTAATACTTGTTTCCAATACTAAAGAATGCAAGGAAAAAGAATTTCCCCAAATAGGGGGCGAAATTGTAAAACTTTTGTGAGAGGGTTTGGCTTGGGCCAGGGTAGACTGGGCCACGGGACACTGACCCGATGTCCAGACCGACTTGCCCCGATATCAACCTACATCTGACCTTTCTGCGTGTCATTGGCCGCGCTTAAACCCTCTTTCATTGAAAAACCTAATGCTTCGCCTTCACCTTTACGTCCTCCTCAGTCGCCAACGTTTCATCTATTCGTCCCACCAGACAGATACTCACAGAGAAAAACTTCTGATTAAGCCCTAGAGATGCTTGAAGTTTATCGGAGCAGCTCAATCGAGTGGAAGCCATCGCCGGTGCTAGCCCTAGCCACCAGCGCCGACGACTCTCAGGTCGCAGCTGCTCGTGAAGACGGGTCACTCGAGATTTGGCTCGTCTCTCCGGGCTCCGTAGGCTGGCACTGTCAGCTTGTATGTACTTCTAAATTTATTTCAGTTATTCCATTTTTCATTGTACTTAGGGGGTGGGGGTGGGTGTCTGAAAATTCGTTTTGGTGGCTGAAATTGATTAATTTGATGTGTAGACGATACATGGAGACCCTGATTCGAGAGTTTCATCGCTGGTTTGGTGCCGGTCGGGGCAGAGTAGCATGCCGTCAGGTCGGTTGTTTTCATCCAGCATTGATGGATCGATTTCGGAATGGGACCTTTTTGATTTGAAACAGAAGGTGCGTCTATATCCATCTATATTTGGATATGGTGTTTATGGATTGCTAGTCCAATTGCACTATTTGAGTGGGCATTTTAACTAACTACTCTGGTTGACAATTTGAGTTTTCTTTTCATAACGTTGTTTATTGTGCTTAAAGGATTAAAACATTAGCTGCTAATGTTTGTTGGCGATTACTTATCAAATATATTAAGTTAAAAGCATAAAATTAAGAAATAGTAGTCACAAAGAAAAAGGAAAGGAGCTTCTGGGAGAGATGGAAAGCCTCAAAAAATAAGTTGCAGATATTCAGTAGCTTAAATGTGTATGCGCCACAGGGCCTTGGAATCATGGATCTTTACTGGATTAGATTTAGCAATAATCAATATTGATCAGTAAAACTACAAATGACTTGAGGTCAACACAACATTTTGTGCTTTTGCATTAGTGGAGCAATGGTAAAAAAGAACTAACTGGTCACATCCTAGATCACAAAGAGCACAAAAGGGAGCGAGAGCGAGAAATTTCAAAGAAAAGTGAGAGCGGGAGCATTGGCATTGTAATACACATTGTAAAAGAGGATGTCAAAGAATTAAGGAAAGTCTAATGGGCATTTTAGAACAAATTTTATCCTGCATTGGTAGATCATCAAAATGTTATGTGGAAAGACAGCCATTAAGAGGACTGTTGGCTGTTTTGAAAAGTAAGAACAACTTTTTGATTCCACATTGATAGTGTATCAACAAATTCTTTGGTAAGACCGGATTAAAGAAGACAGTAGTAAGCTATTTTGAAAAGTAACTGTGCTCAACTTGGGCCTTGGTCCATGAGATGGTTGAAAAAGGTTTGTTGGGTTGAGTTCTAACCCATTACTTAGTCCAAATTTTTAGTGTCCGTGGAGTTGACTCCATGAGTTTCCAGTTCACGAATTATTAACATGAAATTTGAATGCGCGAATTTGTGCCAAATTTGCTCTAAATTCGTGGATTTGCATTTGGAGCGTTAATTCGCTGAGGGTAATAGAAGAATCATGTGATCTAGGTCGCATCTGCTAAAAAGGGTTTGATATGGAGTTTGATGCTTCAACATAACATCAAATCTAATTTGTTGGTCTTACTATATTTGTGTTTGCAGACTGTGCTAGATTCCATTGGTTTCTCGATTTGGCAGATGGCTGCTTCAACCTATAATGATATGCAGCTTCATACAAAAAGGGATAATTCTGGGCATTATGAAAATGGGCATGCTGATGGAAAATTTAATGGTGGTGGTGGTGGTGGTGATGATGATGAAACTAGTGAGAGTGAGGATGACGATGACTCTGTTGTGTTACATGAGGAACCTATTATTGAGGATGCACGAGTAGCAATTGCCTGTGATGATGGCTGTGTGCGCATATATAGTATTGATGAGTCGGACAGGTTAAATTACTGTAGATCGCTGCCAAGGGTCAGTGGTGAGAGAGCTGCCCCCTTTGGTCAGATTGCTAATTTTTTATGTTTTTGCTTTAAGGATTAATTTCATCATGATTCATTTGCAGGGCGTGTCTTAAGTGTGACATGGAGTCCCGACGCAAATAGGATATATTCTGGGAGTAGTGATGGGTATGTATGATTGTTGAAGTAGAGCATGTGCAGAAAGCTTGGTATACCTGGTTGCTAAATTTCTGTTACTTGATTCATATGCAATACTAATGTTAGTTTGCAAAGTGGTGAATTTAGGCACATGAATATTATAAAATCACGTGAGCACCAACTTGCATTTCTTGTTTTGATATATTGCTATATTGTTAAGTTTATTTGGTGCAATGTTATATTTTTCAGGTTTATAAGGTGCTGGGATGCTAAATTGGGTCATGAGATCTACAGGATAACAGTTGGACTTGGAGGCTTGGGTAGTGGACCTGAACTCTGCATATGGTCATTACTTGCACTTAGGTAAAAATGATCTTGCTCCCTCTCTCGCCCCATCCTCGGACACACTGTAAATTTTATGGTTTGTAGTTTTTATCACTAAGGACATGGTTCTATGTCGTTGATCCAATCTATGTGTGCTTATGGTTGAGATTGTTGGTTTTAGGTGTGGAACCCTTGTTAGTGCAGACAGTACTGGTAGTGTTCAGTTTTGGGACAGTCAGCATGGAACTCTTTTGCACGCACATTCTTGTCACAAGGGTGATGTGAATGCTTTGGCAGCAGTTCCTAGCCATAACAGGGTGTTCTCTGCTGGTTCTGATGGCCAGGTATGAGACATTGATATTTGGATGTTCATATTACTTGTGCTTTTAGCAGTCCTTTGGCACGTTCACAAGCCCTATACTTAATTGATAAAGGCATTTGAAATGGACAAGTGTAGCAGACGATGCTGTGTTGCTTTCTGCGTGCATTGCCTCAATGCTTGGGCCCATAAGTTATGCTTTTACCTGTTTAAATGTTGAACAAACTGTGTTAGGAACACTTATATGAATCACCCTGGACCAGTAACAAAGCAAATGGTTCTGTTGGTTTAACATTCACATTTGCAGGAAATAGACTTAAGATATATGAATTTAAGTTGTTATTAGTTTGATATCATTACTACTGCTCACTCCACTTTTAGTAACAATGATGTTTAAGAGAGCTGTAATGACTGAGTAAGCTTTATCTTGGTCTGTGCTCGGTTAGGCTTCTCCGGGAGTAAGGCTTGCCAGATCAGAAATGACATGATGGTGTGTTCAACTCAGTTGAGTTGAATTCACAACGAAAATCATGACATAACCCACTGAATATGTCCCCGTTATTCACTGTACAGTAGCACCAAAGTGCTTTGTGGCAGGCTGGTGGTTGCAGAGGCAAGGGAAGAAGAACGTAATATTTTGTGTCCTAAACTTTTTAAATTGGGATGAGGCTTGATCCAAGATCTTTCTTCATTTGAGCTCTCTGGGGGCTTTCTCAATCACTCTCTCCCTCTCATTGGGTTGGGATTCTTGCTACTCCTTTCCTAACTCCATCAAGGAGCTATGTCTTCTTCAAAGACTATCGTGCTGAAGAGATCCGATGCCAAGACCTTCAAAGTGGAGAATTCATTGCCTCGGGGCTACAGACCATCAAGTATATGAACGATGATGACTGTGCTGACAGTCATTCCCCTGCCCAAGAAACACGTTGAAAGCCCCAAGTCTGATGATAAGTATGCTGCTGATGACTTCAAGACCTTTTGCATTGAGTTTCTCAAAGTTGATCTGGATCCTCTTTTTGGTCTCATCTCGGCAGCAAACTATCTGAAAATCAAGAGCTTGCTAGATCTGACATGACAAACAGCAGCTGACATGATTAAGGGAAAGACTCCGGAGAAGATCTGGACGACCTTTAACATCAAGAATGACTTTACTCCAGAGTCCAGAGGAAGAAGAGGAGATTCACTTGCAGAATGCTTGGGCATTTGAGTGAACCATGAAATTTTGAAGTGTCCATACTATTGTAGGATTGAATACTTGAAATTGGGGCTTACACTATGGTACATTGATGATCTGTTAGTCTTGAGTTTGCTTTTTCTGTTATTTTAGTGATGAAAGGTTTACAAATAAACAGCTTGAGGCTTTGACGGCAATTGTGGGGCAACTTAAAAAAAAATATGGCATGTTTTTTGGCAAGGAGAGCTTATATAATATTTAGTTAGTAGAAGGGATGGCTTATATAATGATACAGTGAAGATCCGTTTGTTTGTTAGGAGATTAATTTTTCTATGTTTTGAATTACAGTGTTTAAATTATTTTACAAGCTGCTTTAGGTAATTTGATGCTAATTGCAAGAAAGATCCTTCGATGAAGGCGCTCTCTATTTATGCTTGTGTTTGCTCTAATTCAACCTAGAAAAGAATTTACAATATGATTAAGGGTTATTCATGTGGTTTTGTTTTTCTTTTTATTTCCTGGTGCACAAGAGTTTGCTATCTTCAATATACCTTTTTATGCATTGAAATGATTGCGATGCTTCAAGAATTGTTAAAAACATAGCACAGTTTCATCGAGTGTCTGTATATTTTATGTTTCTCTTCATTATTGATCAACTACTATCTGACTTTGGGTAAAGTTTTTTTTTCATTACTTAATACGAGTTCTTGTGTTTTTCTCCCTGGAAAGTATACTAGTTTTTTATGATTATTTATCATGTTCTGATCTAGAATGATTTATCTGATTCTGCTAGGCTCTTTCAGTTGTTTTCTCAGTGATGATAGTTGAGTTGTTGCTGTTTGTAGGTTATACTTTATAAGCTTGGTGGCGAAGTAGTTGGATCTGGGGATGACAGGTCTTCTAAAGTGATGAAGAAATGGGTCTATGTTGGTTATGTGAGGACTCATACACATGATGTGAGGGCATTGACCATTGCGGTACCTATAAGTCGAGAAGGTTTGACAATGTCAATGGTTTCTGAGCTTCCGTCCTGAGTACAGCTAAATATTGTCTTTTCTCACTTTTCTTTTAGCTGTATCAATCCTTTACTATTTATTTTCCTTTGGCAGATGTGTTGCCTGATGAAAAGGTGAAAAGGGTTCGGGGTAGGGAGAAGCCACTTGATTTTAGTTACCGTAAGTGGGCTCATTTAGGGGTTCCCATGCTTATCTCAGCTGGTGATGACACTAAACTTTTTGCATATTCCGCCAAGGAGTTCACGAGTTTCTCTCCGCATGATATCTGCCCTGCACCAAGCAGAGTACCTGTTCAGCTAGTGCTTAATACGGTGTTCAATCAGGCTCCTTTGCTTCTAATCCAGGCTTCTCACTGGTTATATATTTTTTGTGTTCGTACAAAAAAGGGTGCGGTTCCTAATGTTGCTTCTGCACCTTCTGGTGGTGTTGCTACCACAGATTTGGTGGCTCAAGTGAAGTGCAAGGCATCTCGGAAGATTATTTGCAGCACTATTTCTCCTTCAGGGTTGTTTTTTGCTTATTCTGATCATGTGAAACCCAGCCTGTTTGAGTTGAAGAGGAGTGAAGTCGGCAAACGTGTATGGACTGTTAACAGAAGGGGACTTCCTCTGAAACTACCATTTGCCCATACGATGGTTTTCAGTTCTGATTCTTCTCGGTTGATGATAGCAGGGCATGATAGACGGATATATGTAAGCCTTCTTGTTTTGTGAAATTTTTTGGTAGTCATTGTTCTTGATGAGCATACTCTATTTCATTCTTCATCGTTAACTCTTGTATAGATATTGTATATTAAATTAGAATCAAATCTCCACTCTAAAACTAGGAAGGGAGTGAGGGAAGTGACGTCATGTTATGCAATATGCACAATATTTTGGATCAATACAAGAGACTGTCATGAGTTGGACAGCAGCAGAGTTCCACTTGAGAAGCAAATAGGCTATAAATGGAAAGATATGTTTTAATCAGGAATTCCCGTGTAACTGAAACAAAGAGGAACTCACTGCTTGTTATACACAAATTTATGGATTAATGCAAGAGAGCTTACAACGAATGGCAGTATCAGAGCCTACATACAGAGAAAAATGGGCTACAAACTGAAAGATGTGTCTGCATTGTGTTTGCATGTTGTGAAGTAAGCTCAGGTATATAACTACATAAATTAGGCAGAGAGGGGTAACGTTTTCAAGCAGAATATGGGATGAGAGTAACTGTACTGAGTGGGCCCACAGGCTATATCTGTATTATTCCATAATGTGAAATCACGTATTTAAGTTAATGAATTTGATGGAAAAGAAGTGATCTTCTTAACCAGATAATGGGAGGAGAACTGTAATAAGTATCCAAGTACATGAACATGCAATTGTATTTCTTTTGATTATTGCAAACTTGCATATTATAATCTCTTGATTTTTACAAAGGATAGTTTTGTTGGCTAGATTTTACTATACAGGAGTTTCAGCTTAAAAGATGTTTTCAGTTTTCTCCTCTTAAAGTTGGCCATTTTGAATGTTCAGAGTCCAACACCTCAGTCTAATGACCATGTCATTTTGAAATATTACTTGTGGTCCTGAAATTGTCCTCCTCGTCCCCTTTCTTATTTTGCTTCGTGTGTGTGTGTAACTGTGTATGCATGCCTGTGGTAACTTCTCCTATTAAATGTCAAGGCTAAAGGCCACAACAAAGCAGTGTTGATCTAGACAAAGTAGAATTTGGGTCAGATTCATATATAATTTCTTATGCAACTTCTAACCTGTCTCCTTGTAACACAGGTTGTGGATGTGGAAAGCTCAGAATTAATCCATGCCTTCACACCTTGTCGTAGAGAGCATGATCAGGAATTGCCACCTAGTGAGCCTCCCATAACAAGAATGTTTACCAGTTCCGATGGGCAGTGGCTGGCTGCTATCAACTGTTTTGGAGATGTGTACATTTTTAATCTAGAAATACAAAGGTGCGACCATGAAAGCTAACCTTTCAAGATAATATTAAATAATTTTTCTGATAATCTATTGTTTCCATATATATATGTGTATGAGGTCTCCGGATATGAACAAAGCAGCGAATAAAGATGTGTTTGATACTTCTCTCTAGAATATAGCATGTGAACATCCTTCACTTGCCCCACGTCATACACCATGCCTATTATATCTAGTCGTTTCAATGCTCAATATGACTATTATGTTTCGCGAGCAGGCAGCACTGGTTCATATCAAGATTGGATGGTGCCTCTGTTACAGCTGGCGGTTTTACACCTCGAAACAGCAATGTGCTTATAATCTCCACCTCTTCAAACCAAATTTATGCGTTTGATGTGGAGGCCAAACAGTTGGGGGAATGGTCCATGCGTCACACATTTGTTCTGCCCAGGAGATACCAAGAATTTCCTGGAGAAGTCATCGGGCTTTCATTTCCGCCTACCTCAAATTCGTCATCTGTTATCATCTACAGTGCCAGGTACACTCCTTTCTTTCTTGTTTGACAAAAATGTGGTTGAGCCTAAAACTTAACACAGCCTTGTCTCAACTAATCCGGAATGGCTGTATGAGTCCTGTTCCTCCTTTGTTCTTATACTTTGTATTTTTGTTGGTATCTGGCTGCACTTTCATAGCCTCTATGAAAGGATTATTGATCCTTTTTCTTATAGGTTATGGCTAGGTAATTGAAGGTTCTTGTGTGTATGTGTGTTTTTATTTGGATTGGGTGTTTTTGGATTCCCTTTTTTTTTTTTTTTTTGGGGGGGGGGGGGGAGAGGAGTCTGTTAGGATTGAGGATGGAATGTACACTGAGAACTAATTTTAGAATTATTTTGTGCTGATTGGCCCCATTCCTTTAAATGTCCTCATAAGGGTGTTAATCAAGCCAAGCCTTTCGAGCTTGGCTATGTGTAGGCTCGGTTCAGCCTACTCAAGAAATTATTGAGCTCTGCTGCTGAGTTCAATGGCTCTTCAAGCTCAGCTCAAATTGAACTCAAGCCAAGCTCAAACAAAAATGTGCCTTTAAAAAAAAAATTCCAAATACCCAATCGAAAAATTTCTCATAAAACACAAGAAATCTAAATCTAAACTAAAATCTGACTGTCAAAAACTTCTACATCACAGTTGAATATGCACTCTGTTACACCCTTTGTCCAAAAACATGAAGGATATATGTAATGAATATTTATGGTGTACTAAATCTTTGGACTCATGCTTGTTTTTTCTAGGGGTTGGATTAGAGAAAAAGAATGCATTGGGGGAGAGAGATAGATGATGACCTAATAAGGACCAAAGAGAGAGATACATGATTGGGTACAAAAAGGTTTGTTTGTATAGAGAGAGAAAGAGAAAACAAGGGGGGGGAATACTATGAAGGAAAGAGAAGAAAGAGGTTGAGAGAAAGAGGCAGAGGGTTTGCGTCTTAAGGGTTTTAATTATTGCAAGGGGGGAGAGAGGGGAGAGAGAGAAGTGGGTAGTCCACCTGATGGCAGTTAGCAAGCAATGGTGGAAGCCATGTGATGGAAGAGACTACACTTGCTTTAAATTGCTTGAAATGGGTTTTTTATTTGCTAATTTTACCAGAGTATCATTCTAACTCTTAAGAATTTATAAAAGAGTTTGATATAAGTATAAAAACCGAGCTGGCTAGCGAATAGCTTGTCAAGCTTAAAGAATTGTTCATATTTGGCTTGTTTTACAATATGAGTGAGCTTGAATGAGTCAAAAATCAGCCGAGCCCAACCTGAGCTACTTGGATCTTTAACAGTCCTAACCTCCTCAAGGAAGTTATCCCGAGTTTAAGTTACTTTGGAGGTCTTCAATGGAGATTGATCAGCCAGGATCAAGGTGTTCAACTTTCTATACAGAGAGTTGTAGAAGTTGAGGTGATGACCCGTAGGAGTTCTAGTTGAGATATAATCGGCTGGATTAGGGCATACTGCACATTATGGTTGGCTTGGCTTGGCTTGGCTTGTTTACAAATGATGTCGGATGAGCTTGTAATCAAGTTGATCTTGATTCCAGTTTGTATGGTCTGGTTTGTCTAGTGGTTATGTGCGCATGACTCCGTGAGCATACATTGCCCTAGGTTGGTTTATCCCATGAACGATGTTTATGGTGTAACTGATGCCTACAGTGTGTGTGTGTGTGTGTGTGTGTGTCTATTTTGAAGATTAAATATAAGTTGTTAGTCTAGAATTTTTGGCCAATGGAGACCATCTTTTACAATACATTCCTTGTGACCACAATGGAAAAGAACTTAATTCCTCTCGACTCCTTTGGGAACACGTCCTGTTTTCCGGTACCTGTTCTTCTGGATGGCATCTTGTTGATTTTTACTTTTCCAAAAATCCTATCAAGACAGTGGATGCTGATGTTATTGAAATGGTTTATGCTTTAGGGCAATGTGCTTGATTGACTTTGGGATGCCAGTTGATGGAGATAACGATGGCGATGTGGTCAATGGTCAGGATTCAGCGTTGAGAAAGTCACGAAATCCTCCCATTAATGGATTATTAAAGCGTAGGTTGAAAGGCCACGATTTAGAAACTAAACATAGTGGTAGAAAGAATTTTGAATTTTGTGCTTTTAGAGATCCTGTTTTATTTGTTGGACATCTTTCGAAAAATTCTGTCTTGATCATAGACAAACCATGGATGGAAGTGGTTAAAACTTTCGATGCCCAGCCTGTTCACAGACATATCTTTGGGACATAACTGCTCCTCAAAGATGGTCAGTATATTTACAGCCAAAAAGGGGGAGTTCAAATGTGGCAGGTGACCCCTTCTCCTTGATGTCACACTTTCTTCTCTGTGGTTGATGGGGGTCTCAAGCATGTTGTGTAATGTATTCCTTGATATTTTTTTTTAACATATTAATGCAATTTTTGTTTTATTTGAAATTTTAACTTAACAGTTATTAGTTGCTCACCTTGTTCGACCATGAGGCTTTTTTTTACCAGTTTTGAGGCTTCACAAAATATTGAATTTCTTTTTTTCATGAAGAATCTTTCAAAGATTATGGTTGATACCAAAAGTGCCTGATTGATTTATTTGCCTGTAGATAATATATAATTTTAGTGAGATGCAAAAGAGAGGTTTGTCTGTATATTTTTTTTGGGCATGTTATCATGTGTACAGCTGCAAGAGAAAAAAAAAATAATGGAAAAAAGAAATAATCCTTAAACTATATGCAAGCTTCCATTATTAATCTTAGTTATTCATCATTTGTCCTCATAAATTTTGCCATGCAATGACTTGATGACTAGCATAATCTTACCAGTGAATTTTGCCACGATATGACTTGCATGTAAAAATAAGAAAATTGTCTGTATCCGAGAGTAATTAATTGGGTGCCCTACGAGATTCTGAGATGTATTAGTTATCCATACAAGTGAAGTGCTTCCAGAAAAGGTTCTTTTCAGATTAAGTGGCACAAAAGGCAAGTCAAGAAGATGTGACATTCTTAGTTGACTATGCATAGAGAGAGATTTTAATAATTATTGGAGGACTTGTTTGGGGATTCGCCTTCAGCCAGCTCGGTTGATGGCGTGAAAGGGTTCAATTTCATGGGACTAAGTCGGTGGTAAGAAATTCACCATCCATCATTAGCCCCAATTATGAAAGACAAGTTGCTTGTGGCAAGCAAGAAGATGACGAAAGGTGCTACTAGCAGCCAAGTCAATGGAAGGAAGTTGTGTGATATTCCAACATTTTTGCACAGTTCTTTCTGCATTTACCTATCACCCTCTCGTCTATGGACTGACTAGCTGGCAAGCATAAGTATCATTGACCAGTTTTTATCCGGGCATATTTTAAATTAATTTCGTGTGGTTTAAATTCATCAATATTTTTTATTTGGTTCAACGGGCAAGGTTATTTTGATCAGTTTATGTGTAACTCAATTAATTCTTTTCTCAGTCCGGTCAAAGCCAAGTTATTCACGTCGAGATTAAGGTATATCTCTTATGGTTTTGCTCTAAGGTGTTGTTAAGGTTTAAATTCAAAAAGTCTAAAGGTTTACAGTTTGTTTCGATTATCACTTAAATTGTTTAATTCATCAATATTAACATAATTTTATAGTTATCGAAAATTTCATACACCCTATTTTTAATAATGTCACACAGAGTATAAACGTAATTTTGACACACTTTTGTTTATTAAAGATATTATAAATTTTCACAAAATTCGAAGGAGACCAGACGCAATTATAACTGCACAATATTTATAGAATTATTGAAAATTTTGTATGTATGACCTTTTTGTTGCCTCTTTTTGTACGTCGTGAGATATATAATACACTTTCAATTAATGTTCTTCTAATGAAATCATAGTTATAAAAAAGTGTTAAAAATTAATATTTAAGGAAAGAAATAGTAGAATTAATAATATAATTTATTAAATTATTTTAGTTTGCCTCATTGTGTATAAACTTCTAGTTCTGCCCCTGACTACAATAACCAATCATATAAATCAAGTAGAGTGCTGCAGTGAGAATAAAGCCTGGAATTATTTCACCCAAATTACTCTCCATGGAAATTCTAAGAAGGGTACTAGGAAGATAGATTGTCGGGCCACAGAGATGGGGTACATGGGACGTATTGTCATTTTCCAAGATAAGGGGTCTAATTTCAGGATGAATTTTCTTCAATAAAAGATCCAAACAAACATAATAATTGTATCTGTATATAATGTATGGGGTNTAACCCAAATTACTCTCCATGGAAATTCTAAGAAGGGTACTAGGAAGATAGATTGTCGGGCCACAGAGATGGGGTCCATGGGACGTATTGTCATTTTCCAAGATAAGGGGTCTAATTTCAGGATGAATTTTCTTCAATAAAAGATCCAAACAAACATAATAATTGTATCTGTATATAATGTATGGGGTCGTATTTTCAGTCGGCAAGGTGGGCCCAGTCCTTTAGGCTTCTTAGAAGAAAATGACACTAAATGGGTCACATATTTTTTTTTATCTAATTTAAGGATCTTGTCTTTTTTGTAAGGTAAAATTCGATCATCGTACGGAGTCATTAGCTTGCGTGGTAAACTGATAAGTACGAGAAAATGGCGTCTTGTTTCCATTGTGTCATGCAAACATCAACGCAATTATGTTGGATGTTGAGTGATTCTTTTGGGTTTGTTTGAATTGATATTATTGATGGATGGCATTAGTGGATGCCATGCCAACCAAAAATATGTGTGGCTTGAGATTTGTGGACATAAAAAGATATNATTATGTTGGATGTTGAGTGATTCTTTTGGGTTTGTTTGAATTGATATTATTGATGGATGGCATTAGTGCATGCCATGCCAACCAAAAATATGTGTGGCTTGAGATTTGTGGACATAAAAAGATATTGTAATATGGGGAATTTATATTTTGGAAAATGTCTAATATATGTTGTACTTAAAATTAATTTATTTCTAAATGTTAAAATCCTATAAAAAAATTATTTTTTAAACGTATTATCGTGGTGGTGCAAGAATTATGCTAATCCTTTTTGTGCCATTCTCATTCTATCGAATGTCTATAAATAGACGGTGTCACGAGACAAAAATACAAAAATTTTGGTGATGTAACTATGTTATCATCACCATCTTCTCATCATAAAAGGATAATTTTTTGGTGACATATCTTTCCTCGTCAAAGCATTGATTAATTGTAGCAAAATTTTTAGAATAGAGAAAGATGAGTTTGGTATTTAGCGACTTTATATGAAATTTTTTTGTTGGGTTTTGGTCATGAAATATTGTGTAGCAAATTAGCTAGCTTTGGTGGCGAATATGTTTTCCTCGCTAAATGCATCCTTTTGGTGATGGAATTAATTGGTAATTAATCCCGGATGTAGTTTAAGTGATAATAGGGACAAACTATAAATTCATACGTCTTGAGTTTAAATTTTGACAACCTCTTGAAACCAGACATATCTCATGAATATACTAGTCTTAGCGTTGACAACTTGCCTTTGATTGGACTGAGAGGGGGATTAATCGAGGTGTGCGTAAGCTGGTCCGGACACCTTGACCGTTAAACCAAAAAAAAAAAATTTAATTGGTAATTCGTCGCCAAAATTGTTGTGAGCTATCTCGACCATNTAGTTCGGACACCTTGGCCGTTAAACCAAAAAAAAAAAATTTAATTGGTAATTCGTCGCCAAAATTGTTGTGAGCTATCTCGACCATCTGGACGACAAGATTGGATTATTTATTTATTTTTTCTTTATGAATATTTTCTCTCACTTGATGGCTAAGAGTGTGTATTAATTCGAGTATTTAAGATGACACATGATTGGAGTCCATGCCACTTTCACTAATGNACCATCTGGACGACAAGATTGGATTATTTATTTATTTTTTCTTTATGAATATTTTCTCTCACTTGATGGCTAAGAGTGTGTATTAATTCGAGTATTTAAGATGACACATGATTGGAGTCCATGCCACTTTCACTAATGTTTTTTTTAAGAGCAAGCATATTATATAATTGTATTCGTATTTAGTGGTAGATCAGTTGGCAAGTTGACAACCTGATCTGGATGTTAGTAAGTTCTCATCTGATTAGATGTTCAAGGATTTGCAGATAAGGTTAGGCCTTCTTTAGGCTTGGTTAGCTTTAAATGAGAAAACAAGGTTTGAATTTGCCATGAACTCAGGGCTCGAGGACTGGTTGGTGAAAGAACCCCAATTAGCGGATGAGTTTATTCGTGACAATCAAAGGTTTAATCGTCCAATAGTCAAGAAGTTTTGGGAGACAGGAAGATGATGAGGTTAGTAAGGTTGTTGGTTCATTTACCTATTTTACTATTCCATATCTTGAAAGAAGATTGTATACGTAAATGTTTTGGTGAATAATATCCCATGCACTTCGTTACATGAACATTATAAGTGGTATTTAAAGGCATAACTCTACCTTATTTGATGCATTTTCCCTCTTACTTTCTCAAAATTTACGAATGAACCTAAGTTTTGTTTTCCTTTAATGTGAAGCGATAAATTCTTTTTTGTTCGTGTTTTGGCCCCCTTCAACTAGAAACCTGGCCCCGCACCTGTTTGTGAGGTGATGAGTTATAATCTTTAATGGTTGGTACTACAGCTACAAGAAGAGTGTGCCACCAAGTTGTTATAGGCATAATTGGAAGATTGAATCTATTACCAATNCTTTAATGGTTGGTACTACAGCTACAAGAAGAGTGTGCCACCAAGTTGTTATAGGCATAATTGGAAGATTGAATCTATTACCAATAGTAAATTTGACAAATACGATTTCATGGAGAAAGCAGATTTGACAAATCCGACTTCATTTGAAAAACGGATTTGACAAATCCGACTTTATAGGGAAAGTGAACATACCAAATCTGACTTCATTTAAAAATCAGACATACCAAATCCGTTTTTTGTCTCAACTAGTAACTTTTAATATTTCATCTAATTTTCTTATTGGGATACCATCCGAAATTCTTGACTTTATATATTTTCTCCCTAAAAAATAAATTACTCATTTTTATTATATATTTAATTATTTAATATTTGACTATTTTGTAATTAATATATTTTGAAAAAATTTAATATAGTGGGATCGATTTTTTGGATGATTGAATTTTATATTTTATTGTGCCTTCAGACACGGGTTATAACTAATAAATTTAGATAGAATCTATTAGTGAATTTTTGACGACTAATAAATGTGAGTAATTTATTCACAAAGAATATAGAATCAGAGAGACCAAACGTATTCAATAAATAGTCAAATACTCTTTTGGCGATCAACACAATTATACATATAAAGGCTTGCACCTTGGTAAATTTGCTTTCCATATAAATGCGGATTTAGTATGTCCACTTTTCATATAAAGACGGATTTGGTATGTCCGTTTTTCCTATGAAGTCGAATTTATCAAATCCGCTTTTT